GAAAGTGACACGAGCTGTGGAATTTGTATGAAAGAAAGAATGAAATTGACAGCTTGTGTTTTCAGGACTGGAAGTTGACAATCATGTCAACATTTCATCATCGTTCTGCTTCATCCTGGTAAATGCCTTGTCTGCTCTTACATCCTCCTGGGTTATTTTTCAGTTCAACTATATGGGTTCAGACACAAATGCTGTAACGCAGAAGATATTCCAGGTCTTCAACTTGGTCAACAGCGTAAGTTTTGAAGTCTGGTTTATATTGTAGTAACATGATGGAGGGGTTGATGTTAATTATGGCCACCAATTTCCTGGCTGCTTGTGGTTTTAGGAGGAGGTTATGTAAAGAATTCCAGGTGTTGGCTCACAATGTTCTGGCTGTGATGGCTGGTCAGGGCCTGGCAGGAGCTCCTGGCTTCTTGGCAGCAACTTAGTCAGAGGTGGGCGAGGGGTTTGGTCCCAGTGGGCCAATACAAAGGTTTGGCTTAGCAACTGTGAACTGTTGGGATGCTGTAGGGGCACTACTGGTACAGTCCGTGCTAGGGAGGCTGCTTAGGGCGAGTCTTGAACCGCCCCAAGTCGCTCTCAAGGGATGTTCTGCTCAGCAGAAAGGAGCAGAAATTGGCAGGACCTGGCCCCTGCCCCCCCATTTCCATTTCACAGCACAACTACATGGGGCGTGGCGTAAACTTTCTGGCTTTTACAGCCTGTGGAGTGTTTCACAGGAGGTTTTCTGTAGGCGTGAATCTGCTGCAGATTTACATCCTTCCATTTGTGGTGGCAATGTACAAAAATGGTGCAGTTTTCCTTGAGGCAGCCAAAGTCCAAAGTTTTGAGGATTTGTGGGTTTTGCCCCTCTCTGTGCTGCAGTTCTTGTCCCACTTGTCACACAATAATCTGTGTCCACTCAAGAGTTTATAAGCAAATTCTCATCCTGTTCTTCCCTCCACTGGTGCTGTTATGGTCCATCTGTTTAATGACAAGTTATTCACAAAACCCCTAAATCCTTCATGTGCAGTTATGAGGCTTTGCTCCTGCACCTCTTGGTGTATCTTTTATATTTTTTAGGTTAATACATTTTGCTTTGTCATACAGATGTCAGTCAGTAGCTGGATTTCCTGCATGACGTGTGCAAAGAGCTGCAGTTCTGCTCAGGAGGAACAGCACAGTGAGCAGGCATTTCCTCTGTTACACTTTCAGATGTTTAATCCTCTTAATGTCACTGTTGTGCTGACCTCCCTGGAGCTGTGGACAAAAGAAAATAAAATCTCAACGGAAGGGGCAGCAGATGACCTTCTACAGCGATTTTTAGAGTGGAAACAGTCACGTCTCACTCTGCAGTCGTATGACATAGCTCATCTCTTGGTGTAAGATAAAGGTTTCCCTACTTGTTAAGGGTTACATGATGGAAATCAGTTAAACCAGTGGAGGTAGAACTGTAAAGATTGCCATGAAAAAAGGTGGGTTTTTTTTAAAAAAAGAAATATATATCTTACATATTTCCTAGTCCCTTAATATTGTGAAAGTATTTCTTCCAAGACTTAGGTTCTAACCTTTCAGTAGTGTAAGAGTTTGGGGGCAGAGGTTTGGCAGCTGCCCTGGCAAGGGGAAGGCCACAGCACCAGTCCCTGCCTGGCACTTGCCACAGACCCTGCCAGCAGCTCTCCTGGGCTGGTGGGGACACCAGGGACAGGGAAGCAGCCGGGGGGACCATCAGTTGTCCCGGGCTGGGTGGCCGGCGAGCGCGTCTGTGTTGCAGGTACAGGGACCCGGCAGCGTTCCTGGGAGCAGCGGCTCTGGGGAAGGCGTGTCAGAGGGATGCTGCGGGTGCAG